AGCTGTAAACATTCAAAAATGCAACTATTTTGAGCTTCAAACGAAGTTTTTAGAGCGTAGATCAGGAATGCGAATGACAGATTTATTTGAATCGACCGATTATTAGAAAAATTTCGTGTGTCTGAGACATTTAAAGCTGCTCAGGAACAGAAACGTTCCCATTTCATACACTATTGATCATGCTCTTTTCAATGGTAAACTCAGCTTTCTCTACTTTTGAGTTCGAACCCTTCCTGTGCATAGATGACCGATGGCTGGTTTTGACCATATCTGTATTTATTCAGAAAATGAACTTTATTCAACAGTAACGAATGACAATCATTCAATTCGTATTTATTAAAATATTATCAAAAAATTTTTAAACATATTTTTATTTATTTATATAGATTATTCACAATTGACTACAGATGAAATGCCTATTGATCCACAACAAATAACAGGTATTGAATATTCTATGAACGCATTCATGTCAAATCTAATGATATTATAGATCAAGAAATCAATAATCTTATTAGGTATCAGTATGATCGTCATGACAGAGCAATATCAATACAATATCCCTTGATATTCATCTTACTTTGTTTATTTATTTATCAATTTTACGATTTATTATTATTGATATTTTTTATTCACGAATTAATGACTTATGAGAGTCGATTTACCGTGCAATTGGATGAATTCGAATCACTCTATTCAAATATGCGATATCATTGTAAAATTCAATCATATTTACTTTTAGAATATTATAATTTTGTTTTTCATTTCAGATGACTTTTTTATAGATCAAGATGCACAAGCAGAAAATCGTACGGCTCGTAAGTGATACTTTTTCAGTATAAGTCTCCATCCAGTCAAATATCAGTCACCATATGTGCTAAAGATCTGATAATTTGTGTGCACATACTCCAATAAAATGTGGATCAGTACCACTATGTTGTATTGATTGATTAAGTACAAAAAGAATTGTGATGTGCGAGAATGGGACTAAAATTTCGAAGTTCATCGGAACTGAAGTTTACAGTAAAAAATGATCTGGGTTTACCAAGATATATAACAGATCATATGAATCAAAACATAATTCAGGAAACATGATCGAAAAATGGCCTTGGTCTCACAAATCTCTATGTATAACACCTTGTTTTTTCTTATTTTTATATGGAATCAAGGTCTATATTATGCTTTTCCTTCACTAAAAAGATGAATTCATGGATTCTCAATACCGATGTGATGATGATCGATATGTCATTTATCTTTAATAGAACGTACATTTCTGAAACTTGTAGACAACAATGTCCAACAGTAGGACAAACTTGTCTTAAGTTTTGAGCTCTATTCATTGAATTATTACTGACTACTTGGAGTTTTATGAACCGTAGATGATATTACTGCACATAGATGAAATTAGTAAAGTCATGAGTTAGAACAGCACACAATATAATTAAGGGTCAGGTCACTTACAAGATCCTTTCCTTCTAGAATGAGTTATAAAGTTAAAAGAAAATATACTATGTCATTTATTGTAAATCTCTTTGTACTTAAACAATCGGGACGAGATGATACCACTGATCTAAATTCTGGATGAAGAATTTTGTCCACTATGTTCAATAATTTGATGTTTTCAATTTTTTGTAGATCCAATGGATGAATGGTTGGCGTTTTCTACAAATGTTATAAGTAAATGACTTTAAAAGGTTTGTTCATAAATTTTAATATTATATTTTTAGTGGCTGATGATGACCCATTAGGAATTGAAGATACACAGCCACATGATAGAGAAGTTCTCTTACAAATAATCCATATTCGACATACATATTTTATTATTAATTATGAAAATGGTCATACCAATGAAGATGCAACGTTATATATTTATGGAAATGATCATACCATCGTTCTCAATATAGAAAATGGTAAATAATTCATTTTCTAAATATATTTTTCTATTTCATAATGCTTAGTAAAAATATTTATTAGATATAAATATTCAAGTCATGAATAATAACGAGAGTGATGCATCACAAAACGTGATTAATGATCAAATACGTAAGTTAAATATTATATTTTTAATATGAATTAATTAAACAATTTGTTTAAAAGATAATATAAATCTTTTGAACTCGATAGAATCACAAGATATTATATTGTCAACTAACAGTGGTGATGAAGATGGTACGTTTGATTTTTTTTTTTATAAACAAATTATGATAACAATTCATGATATAAACATTGTCTGTTATACAATTTCTATTTAGACCAAATTCTTGGTTCCGAAAGTGGTTTTGAGAGTGATGATGAACATGACTCAGATGATGATCATGATCAAATAGGTTTGTTAAACAAATTATGCATTCGTTTCTTTTTTTAATTTTAATAAAAAAAAACTATAATTAGATGAAACAGTACCAATTACTGAAATTTTCTGGAGATATGTCCAAAATAATCTATCCAATCAAACAAATCCTATCAATATAGAACCGGTTATAACGAATATATGTGAGATCTATTTTTATTAATTGAATGAAATATGTTTCTTTTTGTTATACAGTTTTATCATCAAATCAAATAATGGAAAGTACTATGCATCAAACAAATACACTTTACTCGAAAATATCAAATCCTATCGACTTAGGTTATGACTCAAGTGCTGAAAGTATTGATTAGATGAAAGTATTATGATTTACATTATTCAAGCTAACATATAATTTTAATCTAGAGATAACAAATGTATTTTTCTTTTGAACTTTGTCTTTCTATGTACAGTGAATTTTCTTTTGTGTTGAAAGTATTTTAAGACTCTCGTACCATTCAAAAACTAATTCTAGTTCAGATGAATTCAATTATCATGATATTGTGGAACTTACATATGTTTTCGAAGAAAATAGTGAGTGTAAGTTTTAAGTTCGAGTTTTTGCGGCTCCCCTGACAGACAGGCTATCATTATAGACCATAGCAACGAAAGAGAACATTACAGACATACTCCCCCCCATAACAGACCTTAGCAATCAATAATAAAAGATGTTAAATTTTTTGAGATTTTTTTTGAAAAATTGTTCAAGTTATAATTTTTGAAAAATAATGAATATCATTATTTGTGACTTGATTAATATATATATGATAGTATGTAAGGTCTCCTGTAGATATCATAGATTTGTAAAACACACTTAATTGTCAATCAATTCAATGATAATAATAATAATAAGAATGATGAATTAAGAAAAACGAATTAAAATAATAAAAAATAATTAGCAAATAGCAACAATACAAATAAAAAATAGAGCGCTCGTCAGAAAACGAAAAATAAAAAAGTTTTGATTTTACATCTGTATTTCGTATTAATATAACGAAGCTGAAGAACATATGTGAGTTCCACATTTCAGCACCAAAGGGGCTGCACTAACAAGCTTTTTTAAGTGTATCTTAGAATAATGATGTAGAGGTTAGAATAGATTTCTTCGCTCGATGTTGTACCGTTTTTAAAGAATATTCGTCATATTTGAACTATCAATAGTTCATTCATGAAACCCGTACTCTCTGTGGTACTTTATTATAAATAATTCAAACCATTTGTATTCGACAAAATATATGGAAGTTCAGCATCTGAGAGAGTTTTTCTTTTAAAATATAACTTTTATAACATAACTAGGTAAATAAGAACTTGTATTGTATTGACAATAATTGTTATTATTGTTACATTTATTTCATTTCTTATCTGTTGGTGTTTGTATATTGATGAGTCATCACAACATATAGATCTCTGTATATATATGCTTGTCTTTTCTTAAAAAGATGATAACTTTGTTCGTTTCGTTTTCATCTAACTTGTTAGTTGTTTCTGTTCTTCAAGTCAATAAAATAGTTATTGACCTTGACCTTTATTGTATTACGCAATTGATAATACAATACATTTTCTAGCTTTTACGTATACCCTGAATACCTGACAGAACTATTGAGAAAAGGTTTTCAATATTAGATATGTTGACAACCTGATGCATAATCCACATGTGGATTAAATCTTTCTACCGGTTACAGATTCGCTTACCAGGTTTTTTATTTTGACCGTGTAACCTGCGGGCTCAATCTGTTTACAAATTTTGTCTTTTATTTCACTTTATTGTTTTGATCGATATATAATTACGTAGTTCATTAATTATATCCCTGTTTCGTTTCTATACTATTACTGTGGCTTTCATTTTTCATTAACCGAGTTCTTTCGTCTATATTTCTTCATTGGATCTTTATTCTAGTCATTTAATTATTTGTTTCGAAGTCTTTGCACATATAGACTAGTCTTTTCTCAAATTTTGATGATAGAAACGATAGCTTTGATCACCCTTTTCATCTCTCTGTCACATTTTCTCGGTTGTGTCTAGCATATAAATGAACATATAATTTAACATTACGTTTTTTTTTGGTTTTGAAAGTTAATTGTAATTTTCTAATAATCGGTCGATTCAAATAAATCTGTCATTCGCATTCCTGATCTACGCTCTAAAAACTTCGTTTGAAGCTCAAAATAGTTGCATTTTTGAATGTTTACAGCTGTGTTTGACATTTCTCCGCAGTTACTGTAGAAAAGCTACACGTTCTCGACAAAAATACTTTTTATATGATAAAATATCGGTTAACTCATGTACTAGCTTCGTTTAGTTCTACAGCAAAACATCATTATTCTAAGATAAAAAAAACACGACTAATCACCTATATTGTCGCTCTCTCAAAAATTGTGGATAGTACAAAAATATATTTTTGGTTTAATATTCCAAATATGCTCGTTTCGAGAGAACGAGTTGAGAAATTATTAGCATTGATGATGGTACAATCTGACGATAAGTAGTGATTAGAATGTCTCTTCTAGTCTATGGGGTTCAGAACATCTCCGTCAGATAATAGAAGGTGTGTAATTCAAATTCCACAAAGCACACTGGTGTCCCTTATGAATTATATCTGATGTTTACAAAAAGATGCAAAAACATATATTAAAAATAAAATGTATTTGTCGATCTGCTGTAATGTTTAGGAGAGCTAAGACTTTACGTTATTTTACTATATACGTATCCCAAAAGTGAGAATTTCGATAAAATATTCGTATGCTTTTTGGGTGAGGAAGGAGAGTGCTTAAACTATTTTTCTTTTTCTTTATTATCTTTTTTGTAAATTCTTTCATTATTCGTTTGATTTTAAAAAAGACTCAACTTGAGATTATATAGATTTGTGATATCAACTGGAACGTGTTTTTTTTTTGTATATTTTTGTTAGTTGATTAATTAATTGAAATAAATCTTGATGCTTAATTTAAGCGATACATAGTTTTAATATGATACATATGAAGTAGAGAACTGACTTTATACGGTCGAAGCTGATTGAAATATTAAATAAAATCAATGTTTTTTTCAGAAATTTACACAATTCAATAAAATAAAATAGTAAAACTCAATGAGAATTTTCCAATTTAACAACTTTTTTAAATATCTAATAGCATTGTAATTGTTTATTTCCGTATTTTTTTACTTGGAATTGATACGCATATTAATAATGTCGAAGAAGGACGACATACAATTTTCTTTCAAGCAAAACGTATTGATCTCATCGATCATGAAAACATTATATGATAAATAGTTGCTACTTTTGATATTCAATCGAAAATAAATAATATCAATATTAAACAATTAATCAAATATCAAAAGGATTATTTGCGTTCCAAGTTGTCTGAATATTGATAAGTAAATTATTTGGATAATAATGAACTAATAGCATTATCGAAAATAATTGTCATGTATTATTTTCTTACATGAAATTTTTCCCACAGATGAAGATCTAAAATGAGGAAATAGATGTTCGAGCAAAAAGAAATTTAAAAAGATTTCGGCAATATTTCGAGAAACTATGAAATTCCATAGGAGCATATGAGGCATACTTACCACTCACTCTCAGTTTGTCTGAATGAGCTGAAATTTCGACCAGAGATTCTTGGAAGTATTCTTCACCGGTAAAATTGGCAATATTCGTTTTTTGAGCATCCTACACGGATTTATGGAGCTCTGAACACTAGCACTCCAGTTTTGGATCCGAACATTTACGTATTCCCTTAAAAAAAACAAAAAAGATTATTGAAAAAACTTACAACTACTTCTGAAATATACTCTAATGAGTCTGAAAGAAAATTATTGGCCGAATCGGACAAAATCATAGCAGGGTCTAAGCAGATCTGATATGGTCCTATGAAAAAATTTGTTTAAAACTTTTTCCTAGAACACATGTCTTCTTATAATAGCTGCTCTATTTGTGATGAAAATTTCATGTGGATAAATTGCATTCTCTTTCAGAACTAAAAATGCTGAAAGCAAAAGAGGGAGCTATCTTCAAGTTCTTTAACATATTTTAAAATTCAAAGGGAAATAATAATTAAACACAAATTTTATTGATCGTATTATTAGTGCTAAATTGGTGTTATATTATATTAAGAAAGTTTTTTTTTCCGACGCAATAATATTGCGCAACCTGTGTGTATTTATCGAAACCTTGGTTTTTTTGCTATTTTTTATTTATTGTTTGACAAGAAAAAGAAAATGATGATCATTAGTTGCTGTTGTTTTAGTCTTGTAGGAGACAGTATAATGACCGATCTTCTCATAAAAGGATAATTTATTGTTAGCAACATGTTGCAATACATTACAGTGTAATATACGTATATGGACATTAGTGATGAACAGTTAAGAACAACAATTAGCAATATGGAGAGATAAAAGTAGGAATAATGTATCTTATGTAAAATGTGTTACATTAGAAGTAGAACGAAAATATTTATATCTAAAGACGATGTGTTATTGAAAATGTTTTTTCATATGTTTTTCGCCTTTTTTTTTGTATTATATCAGTTGAATAAGACAAAGGCATTATTTTTGTGTAATCAAGGTTATGATTATAAAGGTGAAAAGGACGACTTTTTCACTCGTTCTATTCTCCTTTTTTTTTAGTGGCTACTGGATTGATAAACTACTCCCAATATAATGTAATAAAATCTACTCGTGATATGCACAATATTATCATTTCCATGAGACTAGCCATTTATTTGTGAGGCTTTTTTCAAAACCATCATTGGGAGTAAACGATTCGTTTTTTTTTACTAAATTAATTACTGATGTAAAAATATACTACACTACAAGATATTGCAACAGTTTTCCTTGAAGAAATCGTTCATACGAAAATTTATTTGTTTATAAACTAGAGTTCAACAAATGCATACTTCTCAACGATTTGTCCGATTGTGATGAATCTTCATATAGAAAAAAATACATAAAATCTTTGTTGTTATTTACTAATATTAAAGTTACTTGAATTAATGACTTTTTACATTAAGTTTTATTGTTTTATGTAGAATCTATTGTTGTCAAATCTAAGACTAATATATGACTAAAATGAAACCCAAAAGCTCGTTCGCTACTCTTATAAAAAATGAAAGTCATTTCTAAGTTACATTTCTTTGTTTTTTTTTTCGTTCTCTCGACGATGCACTTTTTTTAAGCAGAAGGAGAAAGAAAACATGCACAAACATATCAAACGAGAGAAGAACTCTTTTTCTCAGCCGTCAGATAAGTTTCTTTTACGATTTGTATTTTAATAACTTTATATATTTGAGTGAATATTCATTAATTTATTTTTCGACTTTAATTGAATAGATTTGAACTTATGAAGTTATCGTTTTATCATTATGTTCTTCAACCACGAATCCTATATATATTTTAATACATAATAGTTAATGATAGAAACATTGCAAGAAGAATTTTTACAGTGTACTTTTGTCACATTCAAATGAAGCCTCTTGGTGTTTAGTATTCATAACGCTTGCAGGTGTTTGTTATTTTTTGCAAGTTGAATATTTCATATGACTTTTTTTTTTACAACAGAAATTCGAATTGCGCAGAATCACTACTTAAACATATTCTTTTTTTTTTTTTCCGTTTCTATATTGACATTATGAGATGTGAGTCTTTTTTTTCAAAAACTAACAAATAAAAGAACGTGTTTATGAAGTTTATAAAAGAAAAAAACTTATTTCTTTTTCTTTCAATAACGATGATATATACATAAGCTCGGTATCGTATATATCATCAATTGTTTTCAATTGAAAACCATCATGAAAAGAAATTTTGTAACAAAGATAATGCAGTTTAAAGGATTCTTTCACTTTCAATAAAACTTCACTATCCTCTCTTAATACATAAGATAATAGATCAGAAAAATAACAGAGATCCGATAATGCATTAATAGTCTATTATAGAGTTGTAAGATAACAGAGTAAATAGCTGTTAAAAATTTTCACAATTAGTTTTTATTCCATAGCTGTAAATTAAAATAGGTAGTTAGAAAACAAATAAAAAGTTTTAAAATATTCTTGAACAATTCATTTCTATAATTTTTATCAAAACGTTAATATCGGAGAGCAAATAGAAGGATTAAATAGTCGTAAGTAAAAAGTATTTGTTCAATACTTTCTCGAGAGAGTATGAAACAGTTTGATTCTGGTCTATATCAATATTCAAACTACGAAAATGATAAGAGTTTCTTCTAAATATGATTTGAGTTTAATGCGGTTTAGACTTGACTTGACTCAATTATTAACGTTTTTTATTTTGGGTGTTAATGTATCTTTACATTGCAAAACAAAGGTAAACAACATCTTTGCTTTTAAAAAACAAAGAAAAAAAGACACCTTGTCGTTTATGAAAAAATGTGTACAGTAGAGAAGAGATCGTACTTTAATACAGTTGTGAACTAGATGAACTTATGAAATGTTTTTGATTTGAAAACGTGACATGAAAGAAATAATTCAGAATATATGTTTAAAAAGAGATGTGGCAATGAAATTCTGTTTTATAACTTATACTGCAATATTAACGTATTCGATTATTTTATTTCGTTCTTAGCTATCACCAATAACAAGAATAATCTAATCTAACTATTTTTAAAAATCTTTTTATTTTTATTTAACATATTTTCTGAATTATTTCTTTTATTTCACATTTAAAATCGAAAACAGTCCGTAAGGTAAAGAACATGTAATGGATACCTGTATTATATTACAGTCGCCTTCCTACTGTACACATTTTGCCATAGAAAGACAAGGTATTTTTTTTGCTTTCTTTATCTTTGTTTTGCAAAGTAAAGATAAACTAATACTCCTTATTCTTATTATAAGTTAAAATTTTATTGTCAGTTGAATACACAGAACGAAAGTTTTTCGTCTTTTGCTAAATCTCTACTGTTACTCTTACATAGAGATCTTATATTGAAAATCTTAAAATATTTCATCTAAAAAATGATCAATCGATACACTTTTTCAACACCGTTTCTCCAAAAAAAAAAAAGACGGCAGTTTTTGAGATAACAATAATAGAGCTAACTTCTTAAATTATGTAATTCTAAAATTCTTAAAATGACCTCCAATTTTAAATGATTTCTTCAGAATTCATGATGAGTTTCTAGATCTCTCTAGCGGAAAAGCGGGTGTGAGTAAGCTATGTGTCTTCTTCTTACACATTCACAAGCTCTTAAATTTCCAACAAATTGTTTTTCGATATAGTTCTCTCCAATAAACTCTGCGTTTTTCTATTCAATGGATAGGTGCATCCTGTTCCGGATGACGAAAAGGAATTTTGTATTTGAACCTTAATATCAGAAAAACCAGATATTTTAGAGAAAACTTTACTTAAGCTTTTGAGTAGAGACGCACTTTCAGGCATCACTGTTAATATCAATGAATGCATAAAGAACGTATGGTGATAGCCGGTTTTTCCATTAGTTAAACGTCGCTCTACTAAGAGGAGCCAGTGGAACTAATACACGGATCATCACTGTAAGTTCTTCATGTGCTCGCCAGCCTCACTGTTGCATCTCTACTTTCGAGGACCCTAAAAACGCAATAAAAAATCTCTTACTCTCATCCGAAATGGCAAGGAGTTCTCTTTCAAATGACAGTAGTCTGAAAACTATAGCTTGGATTGTACTGAAAAAATATTTTCAACCGTAAAAGCCCCATTTTGCAACTTGGCTTTCCGAAATCTTCTGAACTGCAAGGTTTAGAGTTATAAAAGTTTTTTTTATTGGTATACTTTCATTGACCGAACATCTTCGCAAAGTTTAATCAACATCTCAAGCAGTTTATCGAATATTGATCTTAGCAAATAGACGAACTTATCGGTTCCAGTAAAGTGATAAAAACTTGATGTTTAAAATATTTTTTATTACTCACTCTCATGAAAATACTTTTGATTTGATATAACTTCATTTCAATTTATTTCTTATATTTATAGAATTCTCTTCTCTTACACTACCTATATACACTTACCTGGTGATGTTGAAGTTTTTTTCGTCGATAATTTTCATTTTCTGTTTGCACAAAGTCGTTTGTACGGTATAAGAGAGAAGGCTGCGCCTAGATTTTCTTGTTGTTAGAGTTTTATTTTTTTGCGTCAGTAAAAAGACCTCGGATGAAAACAAATAAAACAAAAAAACGAAGGTGAAAATCATAAATATAATACACGATTAAACAACACAGAAACTATGAAGATACTAAGCAACATATAAATTGTTGATAGACGAACTCTAATGTCATATCCTCTAGCAAAAGAAAATCATGACAAAAGTAAAAACTAAACTGGAAAAAATAATCATAAAAAAGTGATAACTATTTTGCAGTGTTTTAGATTTTTATTTTTGGTTAAATGCACATATTTTTAAAAAGACGCTACGCTCTAGTAAAGTAAACTAGTTCCATTATCAGAAGAAATTCTTATGCTGAAATGGTCAGCAAAAATAGAACACGTAATTCAAATGATGACGACCTGGCTTCCAATGAATCATCTGATGGTAAGAAAACAAAACTTGTTAACACATTTGAAATATGTAGAATCACTTTTGAATTAAACTTAATGACTACTTATATCATTAATGAATTAAAATCTTTACAGAAGATGGATGCAGCTCACCGATGACTACTCGACCTATGTCTGCTGGTTCACTAACATTAGATCAACGACAAATAGGTAATTAGTGTGAAATTGATAAAATAAAATTTACAAATCTATTTTTTTGTTATGTAGTTCGTTGTCAATCGACTGAAGAAATAAAATCAAATAATGCTCAGCAGAACAATATAAATCAACAAATTCGTAGATATGCATATGATCATCATAATGTATTATATCGCCAAAATCAACGTGATGTGCAATTAGGGCATTCTAATCCATCGAATGAAAATTCACTACTTCGTAAATCTATTTCGCATCTCATCTATTTATTAAGTATTTATCTTTGATTTTAGATAGTTTTGCTTCGAGCCAAAGTTATCTACCAGCAGAACACGTCGATTGTAAATTTTATTTATGAATTCTGAAGACACGATTAATAATGAAAAATTTATTTATTTCTATAGGTCCTATGGATGAGCGTGTACGTTTTATGGATGATTACCACCTTTCATCGACTATCGAAGGTCTTTATCTTTAAAAATGTTTGTTTATTAATTCTTGTCTTATGGATTTTTTTCTAGAACGTTTTATATATCCTCGAGAAAGCGAATGTATACAGGATACTCAAGAACATCGCATGCTACCAACAATTATTTTAAATAATATTGGTTCAAGTTAGAAAGAAATTAATTTATTACTTGTATAGTAAATGTTTTTCTATTTGTAATTTTAAGGTCAAATCACCAATGGTGAAAATAACCGTATTAACATGGATGTAGTAACACAAAATAATCCCGGTAAAATTACTGCACCATTAAGCCCAATTGGTATTTATATTACTTTACATATTTTTTTTTAACGAGTATGGTTTTATAAAAAAACATTTAGACATACCGGCGGAGACTACTGTGATAGGCAATGCTGTAACAGGAGCACCACATGAGATTTCACGTGAGTTACGAAATGAAATTTCGTATGATTTAATTGCTTTTTTTTATCTAGAGGACACAGATTTTTCCGTTATTACAAGCGAAACACAAAATATTCATGAAATATCCAAGGACAGTGTTACGGATGGTGGGTTAACTTTCGATTAATTTTTTTTTTTTGGTTCCGATCCAGCGAACTTTTTTTTTAGTGATATTGGTCTTGGTGACTTTCATTTTTCGGGTCACTGCCTAGAGAAAACGATTTCAGGATTTATTCGTATCAAATCTAAAATAATTCATTAATATTCGTTTATTTTCATTTATTTTATCGACAAATAGCACTTTTTTGAGTTATTTCTCCAAAATTTTGTTCTGATTTAGATAATTTTCTCAAACACAGAATATTTCACTATAAACCTTAGTTTCTGTCTCAGTAAACTTCTAAAGTTTGACTCCAGTCATCGAAATCAGAACTCAAATTGACCCCACATGTCTCTATGGACTCTTGAAATAATCACTTGACAATGACATTATAATTCAAGTGTTTCTTTATTTAGAAGAAAGTCTTATTCCTGATAGCTTCATGTATGTTGAAGATAATGATGAATCAATTCATTGTAACAATCAAATAGGTATGCTAGATATTTTTATATTCTGTTTGTTCTCCATTTAAACTACTAATATATCTAAGTAGTTGAAACATCACCAAATAATGCAGCTATTGCTAATGTTGTTTCAACACGTACTCCATCAAATCAAATGAATAATGTTGATGAACAATCAGCTCGAACAAAATTGACAAATAATACAGGTGAAATATTTTTGTTTTTATGATACAATAATATTTTCTTTTGTTTTTTTTTTTAAAGATACATTATCTCCTGAAACATTAGAAATTGCACGAGATATTGCTACAAATGAAGCTACTCCTCAAGCAAGTTTATGTGTTGGTGATATACAAGCTACAAGAGTTGCAAAATTACCAACTGCATTTGAACCAATTGATGATTCAAATGAAGAAATTTGTCCATAAAGAACAGAAATATTTTTTTTAATCATGATGAAAACTGCATTAGAAAAATTTCAATATTCTATTTAACCACGAAATCATGCATTTTTATTTAATCCGGATTTTGCTTATTTTTTATCGAGTTCGTATTGACGCTTAATCATCATATTTCATACTGTTTTTATTTTCATTAATTATGAATGTCAACACCTAGTAAGAGAAACAAAAACAATCAAAATGCTTAATATTAAAAAAATTATACCTAAACTTAACGTTTTAATGAAAAGCAATATCGACTTACTAATGTTTCATTTATTATGTTATGCTTAATTATCTCTCAAAAAATAAGATATGAGAAGTCACAGTAAACAATCATTGAAATGTACAAATAGAAAGATTTATTTTCTTTAAATTGTTAAGTTTTTTTTTTTTTTTTTTTTTTTTTTTTTTTTTTTTTTTTTGTTTTTTTTTTTTATTTTAATAAAAAAACTATAAAGATTTTTTTTTTTGTTTTGGTAGAGGAGGTTCTTTTTTTTATCGTTTCAAAATATAAATTATAAACAGATCAAAATTTTCGATTGTCGAAAACTATGAACGCAAATCAATAGAAATTGCATAAATTTATCAAGTAATGAACGGTTATGATAATACTTAATCTGTATCATCATTGTAATAATATTGTAAAAATAGAAAATTGACCTTGATAGATAATTATTTGCTTTCTTTTATTTATATGTAAAATCTGAAGGCTTTTTTTTTGGGACATTTTCTATTAATAATTTCTGATGATGATTTATTATTAACAAATATTATTCTTTACTGACTTTTGTGTTTCTCTATAGATAAGAATGTTAACTATGAAATAAATGTTTCTAATAATAAATGACATATATCTTCGGCATAACAAAACAATAGTAAAACAATCATATATTTTATTATCTGAGTATAAGTATGCAGGTGAAGAAAAACAATGCATTTGCTTCATTATATTTTTCTGTCCGGACAACATTAGAATGTGACTAGAGATAAATTTATACAATTAAAATAAACAGAATCTGAATAGAATAACCCTTTTTTATTCAACAACATCTCTTGAATTTTCGTAAATACTTTAAAAGTCAAAGGGATTTAATCTATTCGCTCATATTTGTATTGGGGGAATTTTTGAAAATTGAGTAGTATCTGAGACGTTCTTCTGATGAATATTTCCTCTCATAGGGAAAATTTGTCAATTTTGCAAATGAATCTCAGTTTATTTATATAAAATTAGTTCGATAAGATCTACTTTTCTTTTTTTCTTTTCATTTAGCTTCGGAAAGAGGCATCCATGTCTGCATCGTAGTGTCAACATTGTCTACCTTTGTTTACGTTGATCATGAATCTTGAGGGTGTGGATGTGTAAGTGACGAGAGAAGTGGTATTCATACATCTACATCCACACCTACATCCGCTCTCGTTCCAATCGATTGACTGTATATGATGAAGTAGCTGCAACAATAGAAGTACTTAAGAACGGAGTCGAAACGTTACTTCGATCGGTAGAATTGGGGAAATGATTATTATGAAACAAATCAGCATCATTAAATATTGGGTTCATATTTTTCTATTGTTTGAAGCAATCGAATAGCAAGAAGAAGAGCAACACTTACAAAAATATTTCTATTACAATGATTCTTTCTTCTTCTATTTCATTTTTATTATTTTCATGGATATATACATTTTTCAGAGATATACGAGAGTTCTAGGCACCGTTTGATAATGACACTTGTGTTACTATTCTACGCATCTCTAAATATCTTCGAAGCAAATCACAGTACCTGCTTTTATTAAAAGTGTATCTAGTGTGTAGAATTTTCAGGGCACAAAGATCTTCTCCTGCTCTAGCCTGCCTTACAAGATAACAGGGCAGGGTTCAGATATTATTTTTGCCAACCCATTCAATGATTATTTTGTAAAAAGAAAAGTAAACAATATCAACTTAGAAAACTTGCTTCTTCTGTTTCAATTTAAATCCTTTACGAAAAGCATAAGTAACAATATTATCTAAACCAAACGATATTAGATAATAGCATGTTTTTAATGTGTATTTGCAATATGTTAAATAGCGGTAGATTTTTTTGGATAAACATCATAAACGAGAAAACTCGATTTTCAAATTGAATTTTATAGCGGAGGAAATTATTCGCAAAAAATTTGCTGTTCGGGGAAGCTTTTTTTATGGGCAGAATCTGCGCCTTTGAGACCAAGGTGTACAAAATGTATAAGAAGTGCAAAGCTAGTGGCTAGTCACACAAGAAAACTCGTATTAAAAAGACACTTATTTCATTTTTCACTTTAACAAGCACACGAAGATTTAATGATATGAGTACGGATGTAGAAAAGACCCAGCTCCAAACTCACTTAAAGAGGAACATTAAAATGATGAAAAAAATATGAACAAAAAACTTACAACCTGTAGTTGTTAAAATTCTTCCGATATAAATTAAAATTAAGATCTTTTAACATGGATCTTTTTCTCCTAGTGTTTTTCTTTTCTTGTATCTTTTTCAGCTCCTCGAAAAATTATTCCAGTACCGCTCCACATTCATATCAGATGAGAAACAAGCCATATACGTAAGCTATGTGTAGAAGGACTTGGAAGATGTGAAAGTACCCCTATTTTTTACTCTCTTGGACGTCATGTGCGTAGTCTTGATCACGTTCATTAGATAAACTTTTTTTTAAACATCAAGGCATGAAAATCTTATGAACAAAATAAAATGTGAAAAGAAAATTCAGTGTGTAAATTCTGTTTCATTAGGGTGCTGTACAATTTGTTTTGCAAGGTACGCTTTCTTTCATTAAAAACACTGCAATCAACATAATATATTGCTTAAAACAACCAGGAAATAGCTCTAATAATTTGTTTGTATATCAAGTCAAGTGGAAAAATTTCGTACCCTATCTTAATAGTAGTCTTTTAATGATTTATGAGTAAAAAACTTGAACCTATTTGAAAAAATATGAAATTTCTGAGAACTGTATAGATGACATGATACGTTCCGATATTATAACGAATGAAAAGAAAAGACAAAAGTTGATTTAAGAAGCTGATAATTGTAACTTCGAATCATTTTAAAACAAATTTCAGAAATGTTTCAAATCTTTCATTCGGGCTGTCCCATAGGAGTTGTAATTAGTCATAAAGCGTAGAAAAGTCGTAGAATAATATCAACAAGTTTGATCTCTCGACAATATGAATCAATTAAGACTTTTCAATATGTGCCGATTGCATATCGTTTGAATCAGAGATGATATCGATATACCGATTTCATCTCTAATTTGAACCCTTTATAATGAATCATGAATAAATCATGATTATTTTTATGCTAGTAGTACTTTGAAAGTAATGAAATCTCACTCCGGTGATCATTATCTTTATTTGATTTAAAATCGATGATTTGATTTTCTTGAATTATTTTAATGATAAGAAGTGTTCTGATGGAAATCCTTAGGAAAAAAAATTTGTTAAATGAAAAAATATTGAAGAGGAACTTATTGAAAAGAATAGGTTCGAAAAGGAGAATATCGATTTAAAAATATCAAAGAGAAAAACAATACGACGATGAAACGTTGAAGAAAGGTTGTCGATTTGAATATAATTAGAAAGAATTTTAATCAAAGTCAAAGAGAGGATTTAAAGTAGTTTCATCATAGTTCCTTGTGATGATTTAATTGGTGGGGTGTGGGTACGGGTGTCAAGGCAGGTGTGTGTATAGCAATCAACAGTATCGCTGCATTTTGTTTGTGTTCGTGGAATATGGTTAAAACCATGCAGCGTCAGTGCGCATATGATGATTCAAGACAGTAAACGAATAAGCACTAAATAAAGCCTTTTGTCGCGAAAGTATTTTATTCTGACATAATAAAAAGAAGAAAAAAATCTTTAGCTTGCTTAACACCTGGCCTCGTAGTGGGACTGTATTTCCTATAATTCCTATATTTTTAAAATTAGTCCTATAATGGACTATATTTCAAGATTTTTTCCTATATTCCTATACTTTTCGAAAAATTGAAGATTCCTCGCAAAAAAGTTACATATTCTTTGGTCTGAATGTCAAGAAAGCAGCAATAAGACGTTCAATGGAAGAAAATGCAGAACATGCTTGTGTAAATAAAGTCTGTAAGCACTTACTGTAAGAAAAAGAAGAAATATTAATGAAACTAAAATATTTTCAGCATGAACTTCATGAAGACGACTAAACAGTCACCAATAACAGTGAACGTTTACTAGAACCCGCAATCAAGAAATAGTCTTGATATAGCTAGAGCTACAAGATTAACTGATGATGATAATACTGAAAGTAAAACGATCTGGAACAGATGTCGAAAGTACAGAACAGTTGATTAAGATTAGAAGTAAACGAAAAAATGATTTTGGCCAAGAAGAACAGAAGCGACAAAAAATTACAACTGATTCAGCGATTACTTATAATTAAAACAGATTTATACTTGTATATATTTCAAAATATACTTTTAGGTATGACAGATGTTTTAATAGTATTAAAAAGAGGTATAATTTATATTATGTAAACCGAAAAATAAATTTTTTGTGGACTCTATTGCATTTGGTTGCGTTTATAATCCTATAGGTCAGTATCTTTAGAGTAGTTGAAAATAAATCAAACACGAATTATTTTTTTTATTTCTGAAAGAAATACTTTATTATGATACTGCTTTTCACAAATCGAAGATATTTTTCTTTAGTTCATCAGAACATATCAAATAAAATAGTCTATAATCTTCAATGCAATTGAAAGATTTCTCCGACTTCTAAAGACTTAAGTAAAAATCAGTATCCTATATATTTCCTATATAGTTCGAGAAAATCCTATATAAATGGTGATGGTCAATTCCTATATATTCCTATATTTCCATAGAGTGGCGCTACGAGGCCAGCGTAACACAGTGTATTTAAACGAACATCAAGCATATATCGTCAACACTCAATACACATTTTAGTCAACAAATAAAATTTTCAGTAACTTTATCCACAACACTTCAACCACATTACAATGCGATCATCTGTGCTTGCGTTTGTCGTCGTTTTCTTTGGCATCTTCATCATGTTTGAAAGTGTTAAGCCTGGCTACCTTGATTAATGCCCATGCTACGTAAACTGCAAATCATCATGCCACAGTAAAGGTATTGTCAACTGTGTCACATCCTTGTCAAGTGAATAATAAGGAAATGGCCACTAAAACACACTTTTTTAAAGCACAAATGGTAAAATGACCATTAAAATGCATATTGATTCGTCTATGAAGCATTTTGACCATTTTATGATCACCAAGTCTACTTTTTCGAAATTTTGAATTGATTTAAATATGTGTATAGTTTTTAAGAATTACTCGATTTATTAGTCTTTGCTTATGAAGGCTCATATTCTACGCAAAAGTCAAGAATATAGTTCAAAATTCACGTAATACGAGTCGATGGAATTTTAGGATCATGATAAAGTCAAACTTAGGGGTAGTGAAAAACAGTTAGTTTTTGCATGACTTTTAACAAGGGTGTGAGTATGGGAATTTGGATGCATGTGGGCATCCTTACTTGTAAACCCACATCCTATACGAAAGGATCTTCCATATTTTTGGTTGAATAAATTGTGATCAAAGTATAAAAATGAGAAAAATTGTATTCTACTGACAGATACTTCTGGTTATGTCGAGTATTTGACATATTGTGACTCAATTTTCGTTTAGAGATGTATTCTGGAGGTATATTCAGAAGGAGATCAAAGTTTTATTCTTATCAGCTATGCTTAAATAGGAGTGACACTTTGCCTTCACTTTACAAGGAAATACGTAAATGCAGTATTTACTCATTTACTAGTAAATAGTAAATATTTTATTTACCTATTTATTATAATAGTTTAGTTTACTTTCTTTTTTTTTCATTCAGGCAACCTGCGTGTTGTCACGCATCTTATGCGAGAAACCGAATAAATTAGTTTACTCTAGTTTTCTTTTTTCTTAATTTGGCCAATTTGATAGCTATTGACCATCATATCAGAAAAATAGAACAAGTTAGCTTAGTTTAATATTCTTTTTCTTCATTCACTTCAGTTATGCTGATATTTGTCGTGTATTTTACAAATGAAATGGAATATATTGGTTTGGTTTGATTTAGTTTTCTTTTTCTTTATTTCATTGTCTTCATAGTTTTGAATATCTTAAGAGATAAAGTGCATAACTTAATTTTGTTTACTTTTCTTTTGTTCATTAATCATCCTGATAATTATCGTACATGTTATGAGAGAAATGGAAAATAACATATAATTCACTTTTCACTTTCCTTTTGGTCTTTTAGTTATCGAGACATGTGTCGAGTATTCTACAAGAAAAAAACGACGAAGGTAGTTTCCTTTATTGTTCTTTTTCTTCATCTAGTCATCCTGATAGTTTTCGACCATTTTATAAGAGAAATCGAATAGGTGACTTTAATAAGTTTGAATCTGTTTTTTATTTTTTTCTCTTCATTTGCTTATGCCGGTAGCTATTCATTATTTTATGAGAGAGATCGAATAAGTTAGTTTCATTTAATTTTCTTTTCATCATTCATTATTCTTGGCAGTTTTCGAGTATTCCGTAGGAGAAACAGAATAACAAAATCCACTTTACTTTTTTTTCTTCGTTTATTTATGCCGGTAGCTTTTCACGATCTTATGAGAGAAATCGAATAAATGAATTCAGTTAGTTTGATTTTCTTTTTTCATTCACTCATCTTGGCAGTTAGCGAATATCGCGTAAAAGAAACAGAATAGCAGAATCCACTTTACTTTTTTTTCTCTTCGTTCATTTTTACCGGTAGATTTGTACCATTTTATAAGAGAAATCAAATAAGTTAGTCTTCTTTAATTTTCTTTTCATCATTCACTTCTTTTGATAGTTATCGAGGATCTTATGAGAGAAATGGAATAAAAGAATTCACTTATACTTTTTTTTCTTAGTTTAGTCATCGTGATTGTGCTTCGCATCTTTTGAGACGTGTTAGGATTTTTGTGTATTTATTTGAAATAGAATAAATATCAAAACATGAACAAAACGAAAAACTATAACGGAAAGTACGATAACGATTGTCGATAATAATAACGATGATTGACGACTGCTCTAAAAACACGATAAATAATAAACAATCAATCGATATTTATAAACTATATCGATTGATTAAACCAATCAAGACAACAACAGAAAACAACTATGAAACAGATAAATTGAAGGTATGTTTGGGATGATAGATGTCGTCCCATAACATTTCTCCCAACAAACAAAACAGAAGTGTGTCCGCACACTTTTATTGGTGTGTTGAACAGCCAAATGAAAAGTAGTGTTCATAAGACATTCTACTTTCTTCAAACATTGTCTGGATCGTTATGTGAAAATGGTAATGTATAATGCAATTGCCGAATGTAATGTTCTTTGGTGAAATATTCGGAATTTAAAACATTTTCATATCGTAATTTATCTTCGTAAGAACGTACACCAATATGCAATTTATAATGATGACGGATGTGACAATGGCGACGTCTTATATGAAGGTGATCCAATATGTTTTCAATTTCTCGAATGGTAAAACAACGATATACAGTACGAATGATGTCAAAATCATGTCGATGTGCATGTATTATTGCATTTCGTTTTCGACAACGTCGTCGAATTGCTGCGTGTGAGCGTTTCTTCTGGTGTTCGATCTTTATTGCATGTCTTATTTTTGTTCCAGGTTCATCATTCGTAGATTTAGAAACTGGAATCAAAATAGTGGCATTTATTGTATTATTGATATCATCATCGGAAATAGACTCGTAATCCTCGATTGTGTAAGTATGAATATTATTATTATTTATTTGTTGTGACGAAATCACTTCATCAGATGAAGTTTGTTGTTCAGAACAACATTGATCGTCGTGAACTTTATTGCAGTTTGTACGAATAGATTTGGTATACGAGTATTTTCCGAGTAAAGCTCTAGACCATCTTTGTCGAACAGCAATTGATAGTTTAGTGACTGAAAGGCAGTCACGCACGGCATATTCGACCAATTGATTATAATCAGTTGACTGTTTTTGGATCTCGACACTATATTTCCGAGTTGGTACCTGTTGAGACATATGTGAACTGGAGAAAGAATCTACACTCCCATCACCAGAATTTAATTTATGTTGTTGGTCTAAGACTTCTTGAAAAGTGTAGGCGATTGCCGTTTGTAGGGTCCAAGTTTCATTAGGATTCTTATAAGGTCTATGAGGACAGGTGCATGTTGCATAATCATATTGTTCATTTAATGAAGAAAGATTGATATCAGAAGCGGTTGGATGAAGAGAGATGGAATCCTCCTCTAAACATGAGAATTCGGATGGACAACAATCTTCTAAATGTGGATTGATCATATTGTACCATTCCTTAAATAGCTGCTGAATGTCAAATGAGTGAATTTGTTGAATATGTGACATGGAGAATAAACGAAATATAAAGAACTTTGACAATTCCTTTTGTGCATCGCCCCAAGCTTGCATCTCTTTTGTTGGATTGAAAACAATAGATAAAAGTTGAGAGATTTTTTTAAATAAATGGGAATCTTGTTTGGGTAAATGCCAGCATTCAAATAGCATTAAAACAGAAATATCTTGGACGCTTCCTATTTGAATTAAGGTTGGTATATTCGATAAATTGTTGTTGTTAGTATTTATGCTAAATACTTTCGATTGCGTAGCATTTTCAATTAAATAATCCATGATGGATTCGGGTGTTGTCCGATTAATGAAGTAGATAGAAAGTGAAGTTAGTGGTTGAAATATAGGATAAAGAGCAAATTCAACATTTTTCTCTGTATTAGTAATTATACGTCGGTGAGTATATTCTTCCTTTTTTGTATTATCTAATGTATAGTAGTTTGATGTATGTTGGTCAAAGTTTTGAGCCATCTAAAATAGAGTATGCATTAGAATGCGTCCTATCAAATCTATATGTAATTTATATTTAATGCCAAGCTACGAAAATATGAAGAAATTCGGAATGATAAAATAATTATTGGTATTTCATTAGATATTTTATCTCGCTCGGCTTGAAAGGTATGATTAAGTATTATTGATGATGATATTTATTTTTACATAACGGTATAATTGAATCTACCGTTATCTGTTTCTGTAGGTGTGTATGCTTCACGTGTTGCACGATATAAGTCTTTGAAGCAAGTTTCCTGATAATTCGATATGGTCCCTCGTATCGAATGTTAAATTTATGACGAGTATGTATATTTTTTATCAATACTGTATCTCCGATTTTGTAATCAGCATCCGATCGATTTGAATCATACCGTATTTTATATTTTGTTTGTTGATTTAGAATATGGTATCTTGCATTATTGGTAATCATAGACAAATATTTATTCAAATCATGCATATATGTTTTTTCCGAAGGAAGAGATACAATTCCGGTATGATAATCAAATGGCAATAAAGGTGAGCGTCCGTACATCATGTTAAACGGAATGTTGTTTGATGTAGCATGAATGGTTGTATTGTAGTTAAAGGTAACAAAAGGTAGTTTCTCATTCCAATCACTACGTCGATCGTTACTTAGTGCCGCAATTTTTGCATCCATCGTAGCGTTATAACGTTCGATTTGGCCATTAGTCGACGGATGGTAAGGCGTTGCAAGTATATGTGTTACACCTAGTTGTTTAAAAATGTCGTTCATAAGGGCAGCCGTAAAGTGCGTGCCTCGATCAGTTAGAATCGCACGAGGTGTACCATATTTGAGAATAACATCATAAATCAGAAATTTACTAGCAGTGAGAGCGGAACAATCTTTAACCGCCTTTGTAATAACAAACTTAGATAGAATATCGGTTATCGATATTATGTACTTATGACCCTCTCTACTGGATGGCACGATCGGGCCATGGAAATCCATAGCCAGTAATTGCCAAATACCTTCCGGTGGTGCTATTGGCTTTAAGAAACCAGGAGTCTTCCTTCGCTGATGATTATTTTGTAAACACGGAATGCATGACCGTATATGAAGACGAATATCTCTTGTTATTGAAGGCCAATAGAAACGTTCTTGAATTTTTCTAGTGGTTTTAAATCTGCCAAAATGCGCACCATTAGCCGGTGTATCGTGATATATTCTAATGATATTAGCACGAAGTTTACGATCTGAAATATACGGAACAGACGACAGAGGGTATGCTTGTTGACGCATCAACATGCCGTTATCGACGAAATACTTTTTATACTTATCAATATTTCGGATTATATGTTGTACAGTCACATCAGACTGCTGTTGTTTTAAAATATCATCCATCGTGAATGATGTGATCGAATCAGTATGTGATATGCATGAAAACTGAGACGTCGTTGATGCAGGATGAGACAGCTCCGCGTTATCACGGGCGTCCCCATTTTGTTGTGTATTCTTATTAAGAAGGCGCTTTTTATTTGTTCCAGTTAATATCCGATTCGAAGAATTATCATTATTAAGCATTGAATTGATTCGTGCTGTTGTAGCTCTAGTAGTAACAGCATTAATAGTTACGATAGGAGGTGAATAACTTGTTTGTGTAGATTTAGATAGTTGACTAGGGAAATCATCAATATCCTCTTGATAATTTCCAATTGGAGATCGTGATAGATAGTCAGCCATTGTATTTTCGTTACCTTTTATATGTTTTATCTTAAAACGATATTGTTGTAATTTTAGTCGCCATCGTTCACACTTTGCATTATGTTGTGCTTGGATATTCAATTGTAATAATGGTTTATGGTCGGTTTCCAATATGAACTCTCGTCCATCCAGGTATTTGTGCCATTTTTCGATCGACGATAGAATCGCAAAACATTCTTTCTCAGTTGTGGACCATCTCTTTTGTGTTGAAGAAAATTTTTGTGAGTAGTAAGCAAGAGGAAGATCACCAGTAGGATATGTTTGTAACAAAACTGCTCCTATGCCATCATCCGAAGCATCCGTTTGCAATTTAAATTCTAAATTATTATTTGGAATACGAAGAATAAGATCTGTGGTGAGGATTCTCTTTAATTCATTGAATGATTTTCGATCCTCTTCGGATAAAGTAATCTTCTGAGGAGATGGTCGTTTACCTTGCTGTTTTGTCTGTGGTGCATATTTATAAAGTGGTAGTGCGATTTGAGAAAACTCACGTATAAATTTCCGATAGTATTCAGCAGCTTTAACAAAGCGAAATGCTTCTTTAGATGTTTTTGGCTCATTAGTAGCAAGAAGAGCTTGAATTTTTTCATGATCTGGTTTGATATTACCATGGTCTATTTGATGACCTAAAAATTTAATTGTTGATCGTGCTATTTTACATTTGTCGATATTTAAACGAAAGTTTGCTGCGCTCAGACGAGCCAAAATATCATCAAGATGTTCCAAATGTTCATTGAATGATGATGAATATATAATAACATCGTCTAGATAAGCTAAACTATATTTCCACCTCGAACTACCTAGAATATTATTTACGATACGTTGGAATGTAGGGGGGCCGTTCGTGATGCCTTGAGGTAGCACTGTAAATTGATATCGACTGTCTCTTGTTGAGAAAGCAGTCTTTGAACGATCTCGTTTATCAAGCGGTACTTGAAAGTAACCGGATTTAAAATCAAGTGTAGTGAAATAGTGTGAATCTGAGAGTTGATCAAATATATCATCAATGCGAGGTAATGGAAAATGATCTCGTTCTGTTATTGCGTTCAGTTTTGTAAAATCTACACAAAATCGATGAGTACCATCTTTCTTTTTTACTAGAACTACTGGTGATGACCAAGGTGATATAGATGGTTCAATAATTCCTTGTTGAAGAAGTTTATTAGTTTCTGTAGTAAGTAGTTCTTCTGCTTGATTCGATTGCCGATAAGGTGGTGTATATATAGGTTTATGATGACCAGTATCGATTGCATGTTTTAATGTAGTTTGTATAACCGATGGAGTACGTAGATCGAAAAGTTTCCCATGTCTCCATAAAACACTTTTTAGGCGGCTACGATGTTTTCCATTTTCAATATGACCTGTTAAATTATCAATATATTTTCTCATTTCCTGTGGATAACAGGTAGCTTGTAGATGGAATTGCAAGTCATTACCTGTTAGAAATTGTTTATAACATACATAACAACGAGGATGTTGATTATCATCAGATCGTGAAGGAAAACAATCCGGTAACCGGATGTTCTCGTGATGTGATCGATTAGGTAGTGTCAAACAAACACTAGATGATTGATATGAGATGGAACCAAGTTTTGAATTTTTTGGTAATGTTTGTGAATGGTCGGTAGCATTAATGACACTAATTTTTGTCTGATTATGTTTTATATGAAGTAAAGCATTTATTGCAAATATAGATTTCCGTTTGAAATCGTCACTGGGTTCAAATAATACTCGATTTTTTCGATTCCGCATTGACGGAATTGTAACATCTATCATTTTCTCACTATATGGAGAAATAGTAACCTGAGAAAGCAACAAAACTGGATGCTGTAATTCTGTAAGATCGAGAATAGGGGTATTAGTTGTGCGACCGTTTGAATGATTAAGAGTTAGACATTGATGATGAAGATCAATGTTAACCTGGTTAGTTTTTAGCCAATCATGACCCAGTAATAAATTTGCGATAAGATTTGAAGCAACATCAGCAACAATAAAGGTTTTGTGACCATTAACTTTTATTTCAAGTTCGACTTCTCCTATAATGTTAACCGATGTACAACTTGCAGATTGATATTTTTTTCTCTTGAAAAGGAACTTTTTGTGATGGATTTTTTTTCGAAGATGTTCATGAATAATAGTAGTGCATGATCCCGTATCAACTATGGCATGTTGAGAAACATTATTTACTTGAACTTTAATATAAACAGGAATAGGAGTTGAGCTTATGGAAGGATATAATGATGGCTTTTTGTATAGGACGGAATCAGTGCCATCATCTGATCCCGCTAAAAGAAAACCTGTGGGCATTGAACGACGCGGTGTCCTCTATGCCCACATTTAAAACAGCCATCAGGTTGACGTTGATAACATTCTATAGTACGATGATTCCTAAGGCCACAAATAAGACATGGTGATAGAGGTGTTACCTGAGATCCTTGATATGAACGTACTCGATTGTTTAATGCATAATTTTGCGAAACATTGCTGGTATGAAAAGGTTGATAATAATTAGAATTTTCATGGACAGGCGGTTGATTTAATGAATATGGTTTCGATAGGGGTGGCATGTGATTGGTATATTGTTTTGCAGTTGATGAAGATTTCACAGCTGATGTCATCATATAAGATTCAGTAGGTCGATTGAAATAAGTGTTATTAGTATCCAAAGATTGATTCATTTTTTCAACATGTTCTTCAATTTTTGCAAATTTCAGAAACGTTTCTGGTGTAGGATCATTGTCGGTAAGCATCAATCTGGTTATATTCGTTTTTATTTCATCTCTAACACCTTTTTGAAGAAAATGTAATATCATTTGTTTGGACATTTTAGGATCAATTCGACGACATAGTCGACAAACAACATCATAATAATCATTTACTGATTCATGAGCCTCCTGTTTTCGATTGTCTAAAGTACTAAACAAAGTCTGATTCAACCATGGTTGTTGAAATCTTTCTCGAAGACAAGTTCTCAATGTTGACCAAGTAGTTAAAGAATCCTGATTATCTTTAAACCATCGTTCAGCTTGACCAGTAAGTTTCTCTTTTAATAAAATTTGCAATACTTCACCTGGTTCGTTTGTTAGTGAACCTATATTTTCGATTCTCTCGATGTATTCATCAACATCTTGAGTGAGATCACCTGTGAATGATTGTAAATTACGATGGCTCTCTTTCTGAGCTTGTAACAAAATAGGACTAGTCATAGTTCGTTCCACTTGAGAATCAGAAGAGCGTACAGTTGTTATAGAATCAGTTTCAATTATTGAATTGGATTTCAAATCGGTCTTTCTGTGAGGATAGTCGACACTATTTCCTGAAAGTAGAGTGGACTTATCTGTTATTTGAGATCGTGTACCGGTCGCCGTTTTTTATTCTTGAATGGAACCACCCTTAACAGGAAGTTCTCTTAAATCAATACTTTATTATATTTAAAAAAAATAAATAAAAATAAAAATTTTGTTGTTGTTTTATTTCTTTTTTTAATAAATAATGTGGATGGATCACTCCTGAATGCAGGATGTCCCAGGAATAAATTGTTTATGTTAATAATGTAATCTTGAAATTCCTCGGCAATTGTTGTTCACAAGGAGCGGGTCACGGCACCAATGTTAGGATTTTTGTGTATTTATTTGAAATAGAATAAATATCAAAACATGAACAAAACGAAAAACTATAACGGAAAGTACGATAACGATTGTCGATAATAATAACGATGATTGACGACTGCNACATGAACAAAACGAAAAACTATAACGGAAAGTACGATAACGATTGTCGATAATAATAACGATGATTGACGACTGCTCTAAAAACACGATAAATAATAAACAATCAATCGATATTTATAAACTATATCGATTGATTAAACCAATCAAGACAACAACAGAAAACAACTATGAAACAGATAAATTGAAGGTATGTTTGGGATGATAGATGTCGTCCCATAACAAGACGGATAGACTGAAATTGTTTGGTTTATTTGTTTTTTGTATATACATTTTTGTATTACTGCTCGTGAGCAGTGATTATGTGCTATCAGATGTTCGTTGCATTTTTGGACTATAACTATCGGTCAGATAACCGTCTTGTTAGTCTTGGCAAGTTCATAAAGTAGAGACTTCCTCGTTTATCACTTCAGAAATCTTCATGAATTTAGTTATCGCATCGAAGACTTTTTTACACCGAGTCATAAACCGTTAGACGGGTTAGAGGTCCTCATGAGGCCTTTCACATACTGTTTCATAAAGGCTTGATGGGTTGATGATGCTCATGAACCTCTGGTAAGATTTAAGGCTCTTGATAGTTTTCGGGAGTGGAGGGGCGCTGTGAGGCTAAATGTTTTCGAGAATAGTATCCAAAATTGTTCATGGACATATTTGAAAAGTCAAATTGGGAGGGGGCTGGATGTAAGGAACTATTTTAAGTAGATACAGTATCAAATTTTTTCCAACGTGAAAATTACGCGAAATCCATTTTCCTGAGAATCTAATTTTAAAGACAATATCTCAGATAGAGAAAATTTTTCGCAGATTGCTAAGAGTAATACTTTCCTTTACAATTTCCAAAAAAAAACTTTTTTCATATTCAAACAAATATGTTGCTCATTATTTTTGTGATTGAAGGCGGCTCACTTATGACAGTTAGTTATTAGTAAAACGCTTTTTAAGCTTTATTTTAAATATCACAGTCGACTGTGATCTAGTTTCACTCAAAGACAACTCAGCTTGTCGCTATAGAAGGTAAAGTTTACTAAAGTTTGACTTCATATTCGATGCAAGTCCTATTGTGTCTGTGGACTTCGTCGTAGCCATAGATGGTGTGCGAGATTTGCAAGACCTAGACTGCTTACTAGATCTAGCAGAAGTCACAAACTGACTGCCCGATTTGGCAAACCTACACCGTTTGCTAAATCTTATAGCACCATAGACTGCTTGGAGAATACAGAGGACCGACTGCGACATATGCAGATCTAGGGTGCGGACAAGATTTGTTAGACCTGCATTGTCTGCTAGATCTTATCGAACCACAGACTGTGCGATGGATTTAGCAGAAACCATAGACAGACTATTCAATTTGCGAGATCTGACAGAAGCCAAAGACTATCTGTCAGATTTGTCAGGCCTACACTGTCTGATATATCTGGAGAAATCACAGGATGTCTACCATATGTGTCAGAAGCCGAGCATTGCCTCAAATATTTGGCAGATAGCTGCTACTGAGAAACTTCTCACAGACACATCCGAAAAGTGTGGGTGCTAGCTCACCCAATTCCCTCCCACATGGAGAGCCATGATAAGATTCATGGTTCTCATGAACCCTTCTATATATCTTTTTGATAATCGTTTTTAATGTTATGTTAAAGCGTTTATGAAGTTCATGTACTCTTACAAAGGGTTTATGAAAATATAAACATATAAGAAATCTGTAAGAGTTTATGGATATTATAAATCCTTTCATAAACCTTTCACAACTAGTATATGAATGTTATAAACTCTTTCATATATCCTTTCTACAGAGTTTATGAAAGGGTGGAGAAATATTTCATAAATGATAAATAAGGTTTTTTTTATACGTTGCACTTTAATAAATCCTTTAAAATTTTATTATTCGACGGCTTTTTTACAGTGTAGAATTATACGAAATGAAACTATTCCCGTAAACACTATCACATCACAGACTATCAATCGAATTAAATGAAAATATTGATTCACTATCATCAAAATAAATTCAAGATATGATTTTTGATGACGTTCTTACTTGAAAAAAATTCTGAAGATTAATAAATTGTGTAGGAGACTCAAAGACAGCTAGAAACTTACATAAGGAAATATTTATCAGCTGCTCAGATTTTGAAATTTTTTGATGACCCAGGTCAAAAACTCAGACGTAAGATTTTATGGATCAGATGAAGTCTTATGAAAAACGTACGAAAAATCGCGGTGTCTCCAAAAGTTACATCAAGTCTTGACGTAGGATTCTTGGCAGATCATATTATCGGTACAATCTTACAAGGCCTTACTATATGATTGTTTGACTTGGGGGTTTGTCTTCAGTAGAATTTTTTTTTATTTTTGAACACAAGCAGTTATGAACCCCGGCCTTGCGTTGATCGATACAGGAGAAGTTAGGTGATCTTTTCATTCGGTTACATTGGAGAAAGCATATTGTTTTTAAAGCAGATTAGGGTCGTCTTTAAAACTCATAACGTATCAAAGAAGAAAAGACACTGAATTTTTTCGTCGATTTTATAAAAGGATGCACCAATATCGACTCTATATAGAGTCGAAATCCTGAGCTACTTCTCTCGTGTTATATTAAAACCATTTAAAAAATGCTCACGCCCATTTAACTCTGAAATAGACAATAGAAATCTTTTATAGATCTTATTAAAGCTTAGTAATCTTGGTAAATTCTTATAAATTCTATTATAAATTAATAGGGTTTGGGATATTTAATAAATTCAAATATATCTTGTAGATTCCACAAAGAAGTCTTTTTAATAAAATATAGAAATTTTGAATTCTTTTGCAATTCATTTTCGTCGTGAACTCCAAACTATCGTGCTAATGTATCAGGCAACAACTTGGTTCTTTTCAATATCTCTACTGGGTTTTTTATTCATTTGTTTTCTCATTAATACTGTTGATGCGCTCTCCAGTTATGACAGAACTGTTCTGGCATACTCACCTGTTGCATACTGGCCTCTGGATCCCAGTATTCCATACGACTATTCAGGTCACAATTTAACCGGAGCGTTTACCAACAATCCTTCTGCCACAATAATGCCAAACAATGATACTGTGAGTGTGTTTAATGGAATCAATCAATACTTCACTATAAACGACAATGATTATTTGGAAATTGTCCGAACTGGTATTCTCACTATAGAAGCATGGTTGCGGCCTGATACATTACAGTTCGACCATCAGGAAGGAAGTGGTTACGTCTTGTGGATGGGAAAAGGAGACACAAACGAGCAAAGTTGGGCTGCGAGGATGTACAGTTATAATAACACAGAAGGACGTTTTAATCGTATTAGTGGTTATGCATTCAACCTAACCGGTGGATTAGGTGCTGGAGACAATGGATTCTCTACACTCTCACTATTAATACAGTTAACGTTAGTAGCACTTATCCAACTGGTTATACGAAAATTTTCAAGAACGGGATCGAGCGCGATCAAGACTCGTTATTAGGATACGGTATTATACCACAGAATGGTACAGCACCAATGCGCATTGGAACTCGACAACTACAATCTTTTTTCAAGGGAGCAATTGGAAAGGTTGCAGTATTTGATTATGAATTGGACTCTAGCCAGGTGCAAATTCATTTCAACTGTATGGTCACGAGCACCAACTGTACTGTTCTCTAAAGCAAAAGATGTCATACTGAATTTTTTGGGGTTCTAGAGTTGGATAATATTTTCTGAACCTTTTGAAGTTCTAACAAAATATGGTTCTATCTCGAACTTTCTTTTTTTTCTTGCAAAAGAGGTTCTACTCTGGTCAAAATCAGCCTATTCAACACGCATAGTCTCGTGCTACTGATTAACTCTATTTCTAACCGATTATTTTTATCTTAAACATATTATACCTATATCTAATCGCTGATTTCTATCTTTAAGCTTTATTTCTATCCTTAACCCTTTCATTTCATATCTAAGTCCCTTACACCTATATCTGACACCTTATTTCTATGCTTAATCTCTTAACTCTTTATCTAACCGCTTTCATAAGACACTTCATAAGTCTTTTCGCTCAGCTCTTAGAAAAGCCATAATTTGAATGCGACTGTTCTATCATAATGCTGAGACATATTTAGCATTAGTTATTGATTCAGATACTTTTATTATTGCTTGCTTGCGATCTCGATACCGAGTGTATCGATAGTATGACACCACTTCTTGTTATTCTTTTATTTAACAAAAAACCAAGTAACGATAAATAACAAACAGAATATAACGCTATTTATTCATTATTGTCATCTGAACTTTGCAACCTTCCTCCTTCTTTTTCGTTGTCCTCTATACTCAAATCATATCTGATCTTTCCTCGGTCATTTTGTCATTTTCTTTTACAATCTGTTTCTTTAAATAACAGTTTTCAAACACAATTTGTTCCCAATGACTCCAGTGTACCATACAACGATTCTCTGGTTAAACCAAAATTAAAAACTTATCCAATAAATTATGAAAAAATTCATTCCAATGAAGCTGGTATAAAGATAGAGTATAGTTACAATACTATGCTGAAATGACACTTGATTTTGCTATTATTATCGTCACTCTTTTGCCAATCAAATAAATGTTTTATGATTCTACCACTTTAGGACATAATAATTGAAAAAAGCCGTTAAAGAAAGGTGGTAATTTGATAAAACATGCATTAACTCAGTCATATCTTATTACAACAAAGACGTGCAAAATCACACAAACAATGACAAGAAACTAATTTGAATGTTATAAATAAATTAGATTGTGGTCGTGTCATGCATATTCGTCGAAATCATGAGAAGAATGAAAGATATGAACTCCATTTACTCTTAAAGAAGTCCGAAAGCTCATTCTGAAGAATTAACGATCGAAACAAATAGCAAAATTTCTATTCAAGATTCAATTCGATTCTGTTGAGACAGGATGGATGTAAGTAGGTAAAGTTATATCCACCACTCTCACCCTCAAATCGTCTAACATTTCAACATTAACCATCTGCGAAATAAAATGAAACATACCTTGAATCATACTATCTTTTATTAGGAAAGATATAGAACAGGCAACGCAAAAAATTTCGTCAAAGTATTACGAATATTTCTAGATTAATTTATGAAAAATTTTCTGTCTAATATAATCTTTGAGGATCAGGAAAAAGAAAAAGTGTCAGCATTCTTCTTGAATCTTCGCGTAAAGCTCTTTGTAATTGTCCATATTACGATTATATTCATCGTCAATATGCACTGGATCCGTAGTGCTAAAGTCACCTCCCCATCGTAATCCTTCACTCTTGATCTCATCAATGAAACACTTGACATCTGTCGGTTGTTCTCCACCAAGACACTTACTATTACACAATGTATAACTCTCTCCATAGACAACATTCATATCGATGGCATGACCAATTTTGTGATTACTCATGTCCGCTGGAGGTACAATGGCATCAAGAATAGTCGAATCGGGTCGTCGATACGAACTTGTGATGTACAGTTTGACATTGCAACGAGCTGCGACAGTACAGATAGTATCCATTGATGAACGAAAACCGCTATCGATACTGACCGTCTTGCCTCGACTATCCAAGCAGCTGCTTGATTCATAGGTCTCAATCGGGCACTCTTCCTGTGAGACTGTGACCAAACTGATACAGATAAAAAGAAGAAAATAAGTATACATAGTTAAATTGCCTGTACGATTGACAAGCGAAGGTCTCCTTTTATATTTGACTGATTTAATCAAAAGAATAATAAATATGAATAATGCATGTATCAGTTCGACAGAATACATAAAAACACTTATCTCCGATCTCATGCAGTGCAAGAGCACAGAAGATTGCAGAATTATCAAAAGCAGGTTGAATGAGTATATCAATCGTCAAAAGAAGCTGAAATTCAATGTCGCATTTGTGCAAGTGGATATTTATCAAGGTATGTTCGAGGCAATAAAAAAAGTAAAAGAATGATATGCGCCAAATTGGAAAGAACGACGCACACTTCGTCACGAGATGAATGTTTGCTGCTTACCAGTTGAAATACTTTTTTGTGTGACAAGTAGAGGGTGTGGGTGTAGGGTGTAAATTGGTATGGCTGCGGGTGTGGATGTGGGATGTGGCGTGGATGGATATGGCTGTTGGTGCGTGGATGTATGGATGTCGGCGTTGTCTCTCACCAACACCTGTACTCACACCCCACATCCATATACTTTCCGTACTTAGCCAGTCACGTATACAATTACTCACTCAACTATGACCGGAACGTATTACTTCTATGAGCTGTTCGACGACTGACTAGGGAACCTTCCAAGGTGCGGGAGCGCTTTTCAATCGGGGTTTCGTGCATCTTGTAGCCCGTAGTGAGTTATGCTTACGGTAAAAAAAGTTCGGGTTTCTGGCTTGTTTCTGAGGAGATATCGAGCTCTTAGTGAATTTTCTCTATTGTATGCCTACAGTGGCAGCAAAGCTATTCTTTCGAATTTTGACCTGAAACTTTGCCTGCATAAAGGCC